CACCAATGTTGCATTAACAGTTTAGTGAAGGAAAGTAATTATTCGCACATCCACTGTATTTGATGGGAAGATTAGAATTCATTTTCCAAAACGATTAGCATTTTACCAATTAAAATAATCCCGTCTCCCTGCCAGCAGCCCTGTGACCTCAATCACCCCAGGATCGTTTAAATGAAACATACTTTGCATAAGAAGAAGCTGGAAGAAATGAAGAATTAAGGCTGTGTTTATTCTTAGTGCCTTCCCTGGGTACAGCTTGTATACAGGTCTTGATGAGTTTCTAATGTCCCCCTCTATTTGCATAGTCATTCACTTCTGTTTCTTGTATTACACCCCTGGCTGTTTTGTTACCCAGCAGCAATTAGAAAGCAGCATGGCCAGTGGAAGACAAAGCCACAAGAAAGCAGCAGGAGGTCTAGGTGAAATGAACCTTACCTAGGTTCAGGGCTTTGATAAGCACAGGGGTCCAGCCATTCATCTGTCCTGTGAACCACCTTGGCCCAGACTCAGTTAGGTGGATCATGGGGCATACTGCAGTCCCTGGGGACACACCAGCTCATGAAACTGAGGCTCTTGTTGTCAGTTGTAAGTTGAGGCTCCAATTCCTGCCACTCTTGTATGTAACAGAATGAAATGGGCTATTTTTGTGGTCATTGTGGAGACATTTGAGTCCATGGCTGTGACCATTGTGTTAATCCATTCCATGGATGGTTTCCTCATTTTCTTTCGCTGGCCTTCTTTTCTTGAAAATGTGCCATTTTTCTAGTGAGTACTCTTTCCTGATGATATGTCTCGAACATAACCAGAAGTCTCTCCATCGCCATTTCTAAGGAACTTTGGGGTTGTATTTCTTCTAAGAGTGATTTGTTTGTCTTGGCAATCCATGGTGTGTGTTCAGTTTCCTTTGCCAACAACGCAGTTTGAACGCATTAATTCTTTGGACTTCCTTTTTCATGGTCCAGATTTTACACGCATATACATGTGATCATTCATGGTTTGAGCTGAACGTACCCTGGTCATCGAGTGACAACACATGGATCATCAGCCTTGAGCCTTTAGCATCCTGCTTAGATAATCTTGATACTTGTCACAGCATGGGTACCATAGTACCACAGCCTGGTTCAAAAGACTACAACATGGGCCAACATCTCCGTTCCACCTGCCACCTGCCCCGTGACCCTGCCGAGTTCCCGGTCTACCAGCCCCCTGGGACTTCTGCCCTTTCTTCAACATCCTGTGTCCTCCTTTCCCAGCCAGTTCCTTGGATCCTGCTTCTCCCTCTCTGGATAAGACTTTTGCCTGTCTTCATCTTTCATCTTCTGATATATGACAACCCCGTGTGTACAGAGTAGAGCTCGTAGGTGTAATATTTTCAGAAGCAGATTGCCAGCCCTTTCTTCTGTGGTGCTGCTTGGGTGGGTTCAGACTGGCTATTTTTAGGCTAGCAGCCTATTGCAGCCTCCTAGACTCGTGCTTCATGCTCTACCCAGTGCAGATGTCCCATCTTACCGACTAGAATAACTACTTCTGCCACTCTGCACTGTAAAGCTCCTAGTGCATACTGCATTTCTGCACTCGGTTATAACATGGTACCTGCTTATAGTGAGCCCCTACTAGGGCAGGAGCCAGGACCTTAGTCAGTTCTGTATTCCTGGCCCTTTGTTTATTGTGGGCGGTGTGTGTGCTTTTATCCTCCGGCTTGATGAATGGGGTCCTGAAATAGATCTGTGCTGTCAGCTCCATCAGAGCTCAGCCTGGGAGACCCAGCCTGTGCAGACCAGCTGAGAGAGCATGTGGGAAACAGAGGAGGTATTTGGCTATGAGAGGACTGTCTTAGTTTCCCAGGGTTGCCATAGCAAAGCACCACCAGGTTGATTGCTTTCAAGAACAGACATCTATTTTCTCGTCATTCTGGGGGTTGAATGTACAAATCAGAGTATCAGTTGTGTCAACTTCTGCTAGAGGCGTTGAAGGAGGAACTGTTCATTTTGTACTTCTCTCCTAGTTTCTGGAGGCTGCTGGCAAGCCTTGGTGTGTTTGCTGCTCACAAATTCATCTGCCTCCATCTTCACATGGGCCTCTTTACCCTGTGTCACTCAGGGAATTAGGGTTATTAAGACATCACTCTGCTGGAGTTCCAACCAAGACCCACTCTACACAAATAGATTTACCTTGTACCAAAGGAAAATTCTATTCCCAGAACAAGGTCTCATTCATGGGTTCAGGGCTTGGGTCTCCAGTCTACCTTTTAAGAGACATAATTTAGTCCAGGGCATGGACATACTCTCTTTGCCTCTCTGTCTCACCCAGTATGCTTTGGCAATGTCTCCTGGCTCTTATGATAGCTGAGTTCTCCTCAAGGGAGGCAGGAGATTGAAGGGCAGGAGGAAGAGTGGCATTCAGCACCCACTTCTGAGATGGGGATTTCAGACTGTTCCACTGTCATGGGATCATGCTGGGTTCTTCATGCTTTCATGGTGGCTGAGCTCAGCCAGATTGTTCCATGTGTGAAGGTCAATTGAATAGGGAGAGACAGGCAGAAGTGGCTGCAGATAGAAGGTCATCTGGACTCTTCAATCTCAACCACAGCTAAGTTGAAATGTCATATTGATGTAGCACTTGATATGGTTATTAAAGCCATTTTATGGTGTCATTTCATTTGATCTCTAATAAGTATTTGAGATAAATATGTTGCCACTGAGCACACTGACTTAATCAAAGCTGCTGCACAAGGAAATGGTGAAATAGACCAGTGTCCGCGGACGTGCAGGCTCTGATCTTCCCCTTCTGTGATTTGTGGCTCCCGGAGACTGGGTTCCATTCCCAGTAGTGGTCCTTGGGAGCTTTGTGACCTAGGACAGGTGGCTTAACCCTCTGCGTCTCAGTCCCTTCATCTGTAAGACAAACATAGTCGTCTCTGAGTTGCTGTGAAGGCTGAGTGAGGGAGAGGGGTTTCCTTGGAGACTGGAAGTCTCTTCAACGTGAGACTCTGAGGAGCACAACAGGCATGGCTGACCATGGGGAGGACCATGGGAGGAGCCTTGGCCTGGCTGGTACAGAGAACAAGCCCTGGGAAGAGCCATCACGGGACACCTAAATTGTGTATCCCCCCACCCCCCATAGCAGGTGGGGCCAGAGCCCAAGTGAATATGACTTTATAAAAGTAATTATTTTTTTACTCGTTTTTATTTTATATTGGTTTGCATGCAAAATTTATACATACTGTGTATCATTCGAGTCATTGCATTTCACATATTCCTACATTTACATTGTATTTCGAACAATCACTCGTGTACATTGTGTTTTATAAAATTAATTACCATTGATCTATGGCCACTATTGCCCCATGTTTTCTGGTTTCCCTTGGATCTTTCCTAATTCTCACACACACCCCTCCCGCCACTCGCCATACTGTTTTATCATAGTGATTCTCTCCTCTCCCCAGTCTCTGCCCCCTGACCCTTTCTCCTTCCCCTTTTGGACTTCTATTCACATCTTACTAGTTAACCTTCTATAAGAAAGAAATTCATCTTCTCTGTGAAAAATTACTTGGGGCAATTATGTGGAAAATGCCTATTTGTCACCATGACTAACACTGAGTACATCTGTATACATGGTACCTCCCTGTTTCATATTGATTCCAGGACACAGCCCGTCCTTCCACAGTGAAAGACATCCTATTCTATTTAGCAGCAGCTGACAAATAGCTACATTGATGGGCAGAGTAGGGGCTTCTGGAAGGATCCCAGGAGCTCACAATCCAAGGGTGAAGGTGAAGGACCCAACAACACTCAGAGCAGAGCCAGCCTGGCCACTACTGGCCTCCCAGGTCCTCTCTACCACCAATGATGCACACTTTTGAGTGGAGGAGTGTGTGTGTGTGTGTGTGGTGTGTGTGTGTGTGTGAGAGAGAGAGAGAGAGAGAGAGAGAAGCTCTTGCATCTCTTCTGCCCAGCAATGAGAGTGTATAATGTTGAAGTGTACTGAAGTAAGCGAGGAAGAAGTGCTCCTAGACACCTGGACATCCTGGAATGGCACAAGCAGTTTGCGCTTGGCCACTAACCTCGAGGTTGGCAATTTGAGTCAGGGTTCAAATCTGTGGTTGATAGAGTTGCTATGAGTCATACTCAACTCAATGGCACCTAACAATGACAACATGCTGTTATACACTAAAGGCTTAGTGATCTGCTTCTGAAAAGTATCAGTAAATACTCTGATTGCCAGCCATGGTCAGGCACTGTATGCACGCATTTCATGATGTGAGCCAACTTAGCGGTTTTTAACGGCTGTACATCTCACAGAAGGGCGTTGCTCATCTTTCTCCTGTGGAGCAGCTGGTGGATTTGAACCACTTGCCTTTGGGTCGGCAGCACTATTCCTTGTCTAGTACCCCATAGATACTGCCACACATATCGCTCATCACTGTTTTGACAAGGGCATCCTGTGACATGAGGTCTCAGGTGAGAACTCAGGCTTCAGTAGTAACTGGCCCCAGGTTACGAAGTGAAAGGCTTTGCTTTCATGCCTCCTGACTCTGACACAGCCCCTCTCCCCCGAAAAAGCCTCCTTCAGCCCCCTCCCCGTTTCCTGATTCCTTCTTGTCTATTAGTCTGTGTCACTCTGTGGCAACAGCTGTATCTGGAGTGTAGGGCATGTGCTCCTTCCTAAGCAGCCATTCTCGGAGCTTCCCACAGGTTCTCACTGAGGTCTAAAAAAAAAAAAACCAACCAAACAAACAAACAAAAACCAGAAACAAAACCAAACCCAAACCAAGCCAAACCCAAGGCCAGCAAAGGACCCCATGTGTGTCTGAGTGGAGCTGTGCTGCATGAAGTTTTCTTGGCTAGGTGCCTTTGTGAATATACCACCGGGCCTTTCTTCCATGGCACTTCTTGGTGTGTTTGAATCTCCAACCGTTAGTTTAGCACTGTTTGTTTGTGTTTCTCACCCCAGGGCACCAGCCCCTCAGCATTACTAACAGTCTCCCCTTTCCCTTGCAGTATGGGTCCAGCCGACGATCTGGTGCTCAAAGCTCACTCGAGCAAGGCAGCTGCCACCCTCACCACCTCACCCACCACCATCGCCACCACCGCCACCACCACCTGCACCCGCACAGCCACCCACACTCCCACCACCTCCACCACCAGGACGCAGGCCTGCACGCTGCCCAGGTGACGCCCTGCACGTGCCCCCTGTTCTCCTGCCAGTGGGAAGGCCACCTGGAGGTGGTGGGGCCGCACCTGAGGCAGACACACAGGGTCGACATCCTCCAGGGGGCGGAGATGGTCTTCCTGGCCACGGACATGCACCTGCCAGCGCCGGCAGACTGGGTTACCATGCACTCCTGCCTCGGCCACCACTTCCTGCTGGTGCTCCGGAAACAGGAGAGGCATGAAGGACACCCACAGTTCTTCGCCACTATGATGCTGATTGGGACCCCCAAGCAAGCCGACTGCTTCACCTACCGCCTGGAGCTCAGCAGGAACCATCGGAGGCTCAAGTGGGAGGCCACCCCCCGCTCTGTGCTTGAGTGTGTGGACTCTGTGATCACGGAAGGGGACTGCCTCGTCCTGAACACCTCGCTGGCCCAGCTCTTCTCCGACAACGGCAGCCTCGCCATCGGGATTGCGGTCACTGCAGCCAAGGGCCACTCGGCAGAGGTGGAGATATGACACGCCCCGCTGGCCACTCCAGGACGCGCAGCTCTGCTCCCAGATGGCCACAGCCGGCACCCCAGACTCCTTAATGTCTCTTCCTTTTTATTTTTCTCTTTCTTTTTTGTCTCAGGTATTTTGTGGTATTTAGTATCCTTTTGTCCTGGGCAGTATGTTATGTAAACATCCTGTGGTTCAAGACCTCTGTGTGACTTTGTTTTGCTTTGTTAAAAGAGTTTTCTAGAATTTAAAAAGATACGACCAGAATAGCTCTTTCTCACCCCTGCCAATTCCCTTCTCCCGAAGCCCAAAACCAAACCAGTTGTGGTTGAGTTGATTGCAACTCGTGGTGACCCTATGTGCAGCAGAGTAGAATCGGGCTCCACAGTATTTACAGAAAGCTCACCCAGCCTTTCTTCAAGGCACCTCTGGGTAGATTTGAACCACTGACTGTTTTGGCTAGTGGCTGAGCACATAACCATTTGCTCCACCCAGGGATTGCTGGCCCTTCTCCACAGCTCCCCAGAGGAATGGAAACTCTCAAGACCATGACCTTGGGACCTGTCATGAAGATACTGTTCAAATTTTCAGTTATCTTCTTTTTGGTCAAGTTCAGAGTGAGGAGTTTTAACATGTGCATTGATGAGGGCTCGGGAATAGCAGGTGTCAAACAATGCAGGCAGCCCTCACAGCTCCCAGGGAACCTCAGGATCCAAGCTGTGCTGAACAGAAATGGCAGGGTTGGGAGGTGAGAGATCCCCAGCCCCTCAAACTCTCCATGTGATCCCAGGGCCTCAAAAGTGGTCAGATTCTGATCTGTCTCCTGATAGACTCCAATTGGGCTCCTCATCTAGTGCCAGCCTTCCTGCTCTGGAAGCTCCTTTGTGATATTTCTTCCAAAACCCATTTGCTGTCTGTTGAGTAAATCACAGAAAAGGATGAGTAAGAATGGGAGCAGACAACTAGTAAAGAAATAAAAGTATAAAAATGAATCCACCTCTAGAAGGATGTTCTAGAAGGGTGTTCTTCCCTCAAAGGGTCTTATGATCAAGTTTTTAAAATCCATTAGTCTTGTCACATGGTAGGACATTTCTATATTATGAACACAAGTCTGAGTATGCTTAACATTTTTTATAAACTAGAACCCCAGTGAACAAAGACGGCCATGTCTCCACCCTCTGGCACGGAGATCAAGCGTGTAAAACCTGGAGGATGTCCTTTTCCTTGTTTACTTTCTAGAATGTTCTGAGGGCCCCATTCAGCATGTGGAAATGTGAATGAAAAAGCAACAAAATTGTTTACAGCTTCTGCTTGAGCTGATTCTCATTTGGCTGTCACAGTAACTGTCTTCTATGTAGAGGTTGCCCATATATTTGAGGAAAGTCAGCATGCTTGGCCAGCTCTATCTTTTTTCACTTGAATGACTCCAGGCCTTCCTAGGAAGACCTCGTGTCCCCTCCCCCCTGCCATTTTTGGTTCCTCTCCTCTGGCTGCTCTCTATGGACACTATGGAAGCATGGCACCTTGACCATTAGGACTGAATGGATCTGCCGCCAGCTAGGTACAGTATTGTCCACAGTGACTTGCTCACCCCTCTCAGCCCTCCAGGTTAGGTCCTGGCAGGCTGCCTCAAGAGGCACTCGATTTCAGGTCTTCCTGAAATGTCCTTCCCCAAGGACTGGGTAATTCTCTGTCTACCCAACTCATGGGAGTTGTGTCAGAGTAGAACTGTGCTTCATGAGGTATAAATAGCTGGGTGATTTTTTGAGAGTTTAGATTGAAAGTTAGGACTTTCTTCTGAGTTGTCTCTGGGTGACACCAACTACTTACACCACTTAAGTGATCCTGATTCACAGAAAACAAACCCAACCCACTGCCATTGAGTTGACTCCAACTCATGGTGAGTCCATCCATCAAAGGTCGTATATCTTTATGAGAAGAGATTGTCTATCTTTCTCCTGAAGAGAGGCTGGTAGATTTGAACTCCTGACATTTTGTTTAGCAGAGAAATTCATAGTGTACCATAGGAGCAGAGCTCCTTACATAGTTCAAAAAGGGCTGTCATATTTGAGTCTTGGGCATTTTCCTCAGTATATGAAAACAGAGGTTTGGAGATGTTAAATGATTCTTCCCAGGTCACACATCAAGTGGTTTGGAGGAGTTCGCTTACTGGAAACTTAATGTTCTTGAAACAGGATGTGTGCTACTAGCCGATTCAGACTCAGAATGACTCCATGGATAAAGCAGAAATGCCCATAGGATTTCCTAGGCTGAAATCTTTGTAAGAGCAAGTAGACAGATCTTTTCTCTGGGGCCACTGGTGGGCCTGAATCACCAGCCTTTTGATAAACAGCCAAAGGCTTTCACTGAGGCTCCTTCACAGGAAGCCGGCCATCAGACTACTGAGCCAAGCGGACTGTGGACCTGAGAAGCCACTAACTCTTGTTTGGGGGAGCAGAGACACTGAAATGAACCCTTGCTTGAAGAACTGGTCCTCTGGGAGAGACCAGATCCCAGGGGGTGTAGCTGTGTGCCCATGGACTCCCTGACACCACTGTCTAACCTCTCACACTCACCCAGGCTTCTTTCCAGTTCTGGGACTGGTTGCCTCATTCACATCCTGGTGCTAAACTTAATGACTCACCTTCTCAAAATCATTTGCATCTTAAAAGACACTAAGCACTGTGTATCAAGAAGAAATGCTTACAGCTTCTGCTTGAGCTGATTCCCATTTGGTTGTCACAATAATTGTCTTCTGTGTAGAGGTTGCTCATATATTTGAGGAATGTCAGCATGCTTGGCCAATTCTGTCTTCAGTATTTGAGCTTCTGGTTTCCTTCAGGTTGAGCCTACAGAAGTGAATGATTTTGAAATGGAGGTCAAGCCACACAAAGAAAACCTGCATATAGTCAGTCTCTGAATGAACTTGTACCTGGAATAGCCCTATCACCACCTGCAACTGCTGTGGAAATTTAGAAATGGATGGGGATACCAGCAGTAAAAGTATCATAGCTACCACTTAGAGTTCTACTGTGTGACCTATGCGACTAAGTTCTTTAAAGATGTTAGTTACCCTTAATAATCTTGTTGCAGATGAAGAACTTTGGCTTAAAGAGTTTAGGTTACTCATTTAAGATCACAGAGCTAGCCAATGACAGAACTGGCTCCCAGGACCCAGGGAGCAATGGTGGAGCACGCCTGGTGATTGGCTGTCTCATTTCTGTGGATTCTCCACAGGACCCCACTGGAGAGTCTGAATGGGGCAGAGACCTTGAGGCACTAATCGTAGGGCTCGTCTTTTGCCTTCTCATGTCGCCTTTTCTCCCTCTTTTTCTCGCCCAAGACACAATGATATCTGGAGCTGAGTTAGATGCCAGTTGTAAAATGTTTAGGAATTTGATAAGCTGATTGTCAAACCCAGGCCATTATTAAAATTTAAATTATATTAACTTTCAAGTAAATAAATTCTATTTTAAAAAAGGAAATAAGTACTGGAAAGATATCACTTCCTAATTAATTTACCACTTTTATTGTTTTCTGAACTCTTGTAAATAATACGTCTGCCATACCTGGTGATCACACAGCACATCTCCTGGTGCTACATTTAGTGACATCACCATGCAGCCTGACATCAACCATGGGGAAATATTTACACTCTAGAAATTGACAAATACTTCAAGTCAGGATTGGGTCGTTTCCCCACCCCCCCCCATAGAGGATCAGATCTTTGGCAACAACCATGATAGCACTGCCTACAATTGGCTGAAGCACACAGCAGCAAGAGAAAAGGGGATTTAGAAGAAGGAGGTGGACTCCGGTGGCCACAATGGCAGGGACACAGGTGAGAGGCAAGCCAATCAAATAGCCACGTTACTAGGAGCATACAAATTGTTCTAGAGAAGATACTCAGAGGTTACTAAGCTTCTTCCAGGATACTCCTTACCAAAGAGCACTCCTGCCTTCCCCTAACTCCCATGTGATGGCTTTCATGGAAAATAGAGACCTGGTAGTATCAAATGTAGAAAATTCTGGTAAGTGGATAAGGAGCTGTGCTGCTAAACCAAACCTCTGTTCAAATCCACCAGCTGCTTCGCAGAAAAAAGACGGACAATCTTCTCCTGTGTGATTTACTGCCTCTGAAAATCTGCTAGAGAGTCTGCTATGAATTGGTTCGGACTCAATAGTACACAGCAACACCAACACCTTTGGATTTTTCCACAAAGTCAGCATGTTAGCAGTAATCCCAAAAGCAAAATCAACTTCAACACATTTGGGATCTTGACCTTGATAAGTTATCCTCCCTGCTGCATGTTTACTGCCACTGGTAGAACCAATACCTAATGTAATGAGGTTTTTTCCCTTTGAAATCAGAAGTCAGAAATACTCAACTTCTGAACATCAGCTGTAGACATTAGCATTGAAGTGGGCTCTTCAGCAGGAAGCTGAGAGGAGCAAAGGGTATGGAGATGAGCTTTGTCACCTGAAGAGGTAGAACTATACCTCCTTTTTGGTCTGGACTTCACACAGCCCAACAAGAATCCTATTCACAATCACAAAGTGGCCTACTCAGACAAACTTCCCTCTTTATAAATCAATAACAGTTGCTATTATGGCAAAGGTCACAAGAAGTTCTTAACTGAGTGCCTTGTCTATTGCCTGACCCTAGTAGTCTCGAAGGGACAGAACAAGGATAAAAGACTGAGGATTACTGAAACTCCTGCTTGATCCAATGCCTGGCAGAATGAAGAGGAATCATGGCAATGCTTAAAATTAGATGAGAATCAGATTCAGGTACTTGATCCAGTTATAAATAGTATGATGAATGGAGTACTCCAGACCAGTTGTTAACAAAAACCAATTGTCATTGGGTTGATTCCAGTTTTATTTGTAGGGCATTTATTCTGTGGCTGAATTTTTGGAAGATCACCACCACATCTTTCTTCCTTGGTGTCTCTGGGTGGACTTGAACTGCAAGACTCTCACCTAGTAACCGAGTGTTTGTTTGCTCTACCCAGGGA